ACTGCTCCCGAAACGTGCTTACCTGAGTGCCTGCCCCCTCCTAGCTTCCTCTGCATGTGTCCTATGAGAAGGCTACAGTATGACCAGACAGAACAGTTACTTACCCAAGAGAGGCATGGCAAAGAGACAGCAGAGAACAAAGGGGACATGAAAGGAAGAATGAGAGAACTTCTGTGCTTGTCAAGAAAATGGAGTCCCTGGGTGGTACAAGCAGTTCATATGCTTGGCTGCTAACCCAGAGATGCCTCAGAAGAAAGGCCTGACGATCTTCCAAAAAAGGTCACAGCTACTGAAAACCCTGTGGAGCACAGTTCTACTCTGACACAGAGATGGGGTAGCCATGAGTCAGAGTCAACTTGACAGCAACTGGTTGGTTTTTTTATCAGGACAGTTGGAGACTGATAGCAGAGACTAGAAATTAAGAGCAGAGGAACAGAAGTGCTTTAGTTCCTTTAGTGCTTTAGTATTTTAGTAGTTTAGTACTTTTAGTCCTTTAGTACTGTTAAATATTGAAATTAAGTCTCAAGTCTGGATTGATGAAAACCCACAAGTAAACCACTTCTCCAGACTTAATTACGTATCCTCTGTTTTTCTCATATATGTAGATAACATTAAAAGATTTAAGAAAACTGACCTAAACATTCGGACAGTACTTCAGTTTGATTTATCACCTCAAGTTGGGTGTGGATTCCTGGGATGAGGAGCACTGGTTGTGGGTTGGATGTGCATGCTGCTCTGTACAGGGAATTGGAAATGGAATCCTAAAGCAGATGGTGTGTCATTTCTGTTCCGACAGGGCCCAACACACAGTAGCACCCGTAGAGTCACTTTATTTATTTATTATAAGCTTTTATACTTCTTTCAGCTCTGTGCATTTTGTATTTAGCAAAATAATGTAAACGCAAAGTAGTAACTTCAACAGAGAGACACACATTTCTTAAATTCAAAACCCCAGAACATGCCAGACTAGCTGTTTGTTCACTGTCTGTGCCCAGGACCTGGGCAGTGCCCGACACAAGGATGTGCTGAGGTAAATATTCCATGCAAGGGTTTGCTCATGTCTTAAATATTCCATTCAACTTTCCACTTACATTTTAAAGTAAGTGAGAGATTATTAGTTTTCATTTATTCAAGAAACTTAACCATTATGCCTGCCCCGGGGATAGAGCAGTGAACAAAATAGCCATGGCTGTCCCTGCCTCATGGGGAAAGAGACAGTGAAAAAACACCCAGCAGCGTGACTGTGGATGGTGGTGGGCACTACAAAGGAAGAGAGTGGGTTGAGAAAGTAATCGGGCGCAGGGAATGCAGCATTTAGGTCCGTGGTCCAGGAACCTTCTGGAGGCTCTGCGGTTAAGCAGGACAGGAGGAGGAAGCCTGGGCCTGTGGAAGAGTCTTTGGGGGGTGGGGGGCAGCGTCCAGGCAGAGAGGGCAGCAGGCAGGGTCCCTGGAAGTCCACACCCACCAGGAGGGGTGAAGGGCCCAGCAAGGTTTCGGCAGGCAGAGGTGGGTTACCACACTGGGGCAGTGGTGTGTCACTGTCTTCTCAACTCACTGACAGCTCAGAACAGGTGGCCTGATACCACCTACTGGGTGGTATTGTTAACTGTTTCATAATCTGTAGCAAGTTTTAAAAACTTATTCTTGAAGTTCTTTCCTTAATGAATCAAGATTTTCTTCTATGATTAGCCTAGCAATTTGTTTGCTGTCTTGTTCTATGTCAATAACATGTTTTTTCCCCCTTTGAAATGATCTTTTTACTATGAAAATGTCATTTTCTTATTGTGGTACAAATATACATAACAAAGCATTTGCCAATTCAACAATTTTTACATGTGTAATTCAGTGACATTGATTCCATTCTTCTTCATCTGCAACCATGATCACTATCCTTTTCTGAATTATTCTACCACAAATACTGTTTTTATAATTCATAAAATGTGTTCTTTAACTCCTCAGAACTGTGCTGTTTTTAGGACGGTACTTTATGAATTTCCCAGCCCTGGACTTGGTCTTCAGAAGCACCAACAGCAATGCATCATATCTGTTGGGTTTCCTTATTTGCATAAGGGGGTTGTTATGCATATTCCATTTCTGTCCATCCATTTTTATAATCATGTTTCCGATTCTTGGAAGCTCTGCCCCAGTCTTTTCAGTGCTGGGACGTCACTGGGCAGCCTGGCTCTGACGCAGGAGCTTGGTTTAGGAAGTGATTTTCTCTACACCTGTGTGTGTAGTCTTCAGGGGGAATTCCCAACTTCTGGCACGAATCACTTGAAGAATTTTATCACACTTCCTAGTGATAGCGTTCATCTTTCATTCATAGGGAGCTTACATGCTTTAAATGTATATATATGTATATAAATTGCTTAAACGTCTTTAGGAAGAAAATAAAGTCAAGCTGTCAATCCCTTTGAAATGCTCTCTCCTTTAAATTTGTTTAACATCAGCAGATGTGAGTTATTGCTGAGAGCCTTTAAGAAGAGCACCACTAGTGTAATCAAATATGAAAGTGTGAAATGTTCATGTCGGTGGTCCTCTTCACCCAGTTACAAACAGTGAAATGAGATAATAAAACTGAAAACCATACTAGAAAATCAGCATATATGTATATAGACTGTGGGATTTGATTGTACCTTTGATGTGTCTACATTGATCGGACTTGGGTTAGGATAACCAGGTTCGTGTGTATGACTAGATAAACAGGTATGAGTTAAGCACCTCGTAGTCTAAAAGTAATACATATCCTTTTATCCAGAGTATTCACATTTGTAGTTATTTGGTTATAGGCCTAATTCCAGAAGCTCTTAATTTTATACTGCCCTTTGCCATTGATTCTGACTCATAGTGACCCTGTAGGACAGAATAGAACTGCCCCATAGGATTTCCAAGGCTGTAAATCTTTACGGAAGCAGACTGCCACATCTCTCCCATCGAGCTGCTGCTGAGTTTGAACTGCCAACCTTTCGGTTAGCAGCCGAGTGCTTTACCACTGCGCCACCAAGGCTCCTTAATTTCATACCACCAAAAACAATTCTGTCCAATACTAAGCACGTTGCATGAGAGCAGTAATTAAAGCACCTTTCTCTTGTAAAAAATGTGAATACTCTTTTTTTTTTTAAATATGGTTGGCATTATGTAGAGAGTTAATTCTCAGAATGATTACTGATTAAAAACAATTGTCTGAAATGCTGGGCAAGGTATAAGAAGCTAAACTGAATTTTGTTATAAGCTGCTATCTCGAATGGGTTGTGAAATGAAGCATAAACTAAATAATACACAGATGTGAGTCACCAAATATAGAATGCTGAAGTCCTGACGCAGCACGACACCAATGAGATGATAGGGTGTTAGCAGGAAGATGCAATTTACAGGTCAAAATGTAATAGTAACCTTTCACTGCACAAATTGAAAATTAACCTTGGGAGTATTGGATCATTTGCAGCTTTTACAGTTTTATTGGGAAAAATTGTATAGAGTTCCACTTTCATTTTACATTTCAAATGGTGTAGCAAAAATGTTAATTTGTCCCCCCTAGATGTTATCACTTGTATTGACAGCCACGTGTCTTTTTTTAGTATATAATTTAGAGTATATTGCTAGTGCTCTAAATTATAGCACTGTATTATCTGTGACATGATATTAGAATCTCAGTGTACCTTGGTATCTTAGTAATGCACTGGAAGTTAGGCAATGAGAGCTCTAATTTGGGTCTCCCCAGTGACTCACTAACATTTGACACGTTGTAAGTGTCCTTGGTAAAAGTAATCTAGTCTAACCCCAGTCCAGAACCAGAACCCCCGCAAACCACCCCGACGTTAGTGGTACAGAAAAACAACAAACATTTTAATACGCTTGTGGGTTGTCGAGTTGGTAGCTCAGACGAGGCACAGTAAGGTAGCTTGTATCTGGGCCTCAGCCAAGAAGACTTCAGTGCTAGAGGGCTGCCAGCGACAGGGCTGGAATCCTTAGAGAAGTCTCCTGTTACAAGTGTCACGTCAGTGTTGGTGGCTGCCTGGGCCTCAGCTGGGCTTCCTCGAGCATGAGTGCGAGGGGATGAAGTGGTCACCTGACCGGCCCTTCTGTCCCGTGAAGTCTGTCATCCTCCGGCTGCTGTTGCATTCTGGAATCTGCTCTTCACCGTGTGACTTCCCTCTGCTGCGTCATGTTTTAACTAATTAATCTCTTGTAAGATAACATTTTTAAAGACAAACCGAATTTTTTTCATAAAACACTATCATAAAAATACTATTCATAAATTATTAACTTTAGAAATTATTCTTCCAGTTATAGTTTAAAAATTTTAAGAAGGAATTAAACACTAAATAACTGAAGTAAGAATAGCTCTGACTTTTGAGTCCTGCCACACGCCTGGGAATTAGCTTGCATTGTCTCAGTCTTAGAGCCTATCTGCAGCTACGCCTCCTGTCTTCTGACGAGGAACGTGGGCCTCGGACAAACAAAGAGCCTGGCCACGAAGCCACCAGCTCACCTCACTGACAGAGTCGGGCTTAGAGCCAGGCCGCCCTCCCTCTTAGTGGTTTTGTCCCCTTAAAACTCGAGTATCACACGTGCACGTTGCCAGTTAATTTCCTGTTTTATAGAAAATCATGATAAACACGAAAGATTCAAACTGTTCACTCCTGCGTGAAATTTGTGGAACCAGGAGTGGAAGAACCTTGAGAAGTCACTAATGTGTTTCCAGGGTTGATTGGTGTGTGGAGACCCTGGGCTCCAAGGAGCTCACACCTAGAGTGACTTAAGCTGAGGGAACACAATGCAACAGGAGTCCTAGGATCAGTGGCGGCCTGTTTTAAAAATAAGATCAGGGGACGTTTTGTCATGTTTCTTTTTTGTTCACCTGCATAAACGTTATTCAAAGGGTACTTGGCACGGCTACAAAACCGCGGTCTCGGTGCTGGCAGCTCTCTAACCTCGTCTCGGTCTCCACGCAGCCTTCACAGGGTGAGTGACCGCTCCATGTTGCTGTTTTTCTCTAGGTGGCTCTCGTGCAGTGGACAGAGAGCGTGGGCCTCACCCTGGTCAGCCGGGACCTGACTTCCATGCAGCTGAAGACACCCAGCGGACAGATTCTGACCTACCACGTCCTGCAGGTGTTCCCCTTCACATCTGAAAACAAGCGTATGGGGATCGTTGTCAGGGTGAGTTCACTGCACACAGCCATGCAGGTCACGTGTAGGGGTCATCATCAGGGTGAGTTCACTGCACACGGCCATGCAGGTCACGTGTAGGGGTCATCATCAGGGTGAGTTCACTGCACACGGCCATGTGGTCTGTGCATGGGGGCAGCTTTTTGTTTGTTTGCTGAACTAAACGAAACAAATCAAACCCATTGCCATCAAGTCAATTCCGACTCATAGCAACCCTCTAAGACAGAGTTGAACTGCCCCAGGTGGTTTCCAGTGAGCAGCTGGTGGATTCGAACTGCTGACCTTTTGGTTAGCAGCCAGGCTCTTAACCACCGCCCAACCAGGGCTCCAAACTAAACTCCCTGTGTTTTCAGTACATTAAACTGACACAAAAAAGTTTCCTAAAAGAAAAGTTAAAGTCAATGTTACATATTTACTCAGTTACAGTTTTTTAAATGAAATCTAAACTAATAATTTATGACGGAAAAGCTAGTGTGGGCCTGCTGGTAGTGATAGCAGTGGGAACAGGTTCCCCAGGAACATGAGGGCAAAGTAAATAAAAGTAGTAGCTGTTAATTTTTAAAATCAGCCATTTTGTTTTCTTTGGCGTGTTATAACAGTAGCATGCTAAAGAGTTTAACAATGCTTTTATGACCATAAAGCTGCTGAAATATACCCTATTAAGGTTTTTTTTTTGGCAAATACCAAAAATACACCTTGAAAGCTGGCTAAACAAAGATGCACCAAGTCCAGCTGTGAGGATTGAGGGACACTTGTCTACACGGCACCCACGTCATAGATGGAGCAGACTTGATCCAAACAGCTGTACCTTGCACTCCAGGCTAGCATCCTGGTCCTTGCCTGCTCTGTGTCCACATGAGACGCCACGGGACCACCACCACGGGAGCAGCACCAGGATAGCTTTTTGGTTGCGAGGAGCCATGCTTTTGACTGCGTCCGCCTTTGTTTTCATGCTGTTCCAGGATGAATCCACAGCTGAAATCACATTCTACATGAAGGGCGCCGATGTCGCCATGTCCACTATTGTCCAGTACAACGACTGGCTGGAAGAGGAGGTAAGACAAGTCCTTAGCATTGTGCAGAAATGTGTTTCCTCAGTTTGGTGAGCAGATGACAGAAAAACAGTATCCTTCCTATAACCTGTAGTCACTAATATCTTTGGAATAACTTGAGATATCAACATTTCAAACCAGGGTACTAATATATTGCCAAACACGGCAGAATTTTCCACAAAGTTATTTGAAATGATTACAGTTCTTCTCAGTTTTGGAAGCAGAAAGGATAGGTGTGCTTTTTGATTATAGTTTGCTTTCTGTGTGAATAGCTAGTATTTCTGTTTTGTGTGTGAGTGCATGCAGATGTATAGAAGTAGGTCCTTATGAGGGATATTTTATACGTAATAGTGGGAAAATGGGAAGCATTAGTAATCATCCACTAAAGAATTTTGAAATCATATCAAGTATATAGCTTAAGTTATTTTTTTATATGGTGTTTATTTTATAACCCGAATCATAATAGTTTAATGCTAATTTGTACATAGGATTCATTTATAAAAAATAAAATCAGATATAAATATAGCCAGTGCTATATTTATACCAAAATCTACCTAAACAAATATGATTTGTATTTAGCCCATGAGGTCCTATTATGCCTTGTTTAAGCTTATGAATTAACAGAGAATTGGATTTCCAAGTAAAACTAAGATGATGGTAATCGTCAGCATGACCCTCTGTGTGCACTGTTGCTGCTCTTGGGGCATCTTCTCAGGCATCGTGAACAGTGCAGACAATACGGACGCACGGTGATCACCCCCCGCCCCATGTTCATAATGGTATTGGCAATATGAATCAATATGTCCTCCAGGGTGCTTTGATTTAATCAGAGACATGAATAAATTAAACTCCCCGAAGACCTAGTAAAATGCCATAAAAATTACTTTCGGTCATAATGACGTGCAATTAATTGCAAAATACTTGTTTAATTTATTTAGCTTTATGAGGTCAAATCAATAAGTGTCTCGCAGAAGACAGATAATGCCAGATTGTCACAAAGATAACTTTCTTAAAAATCCTGCGTACATTTATTTTATCAGCATTATGTTTTCTTTGCATGGAGAATCCTTTTGATCCTCCACCAATGTCTTTGCAAAAATGAAGGAGTGGTTTGTGGTAATACCATTGGTCTGAAAGCCTCGCGCTTTATAAGAGAAAGAGCCGCCTGGCATCCAGGGAGTCATTCTGTGTCCGTGAGCTCCCCAGAGCAGAGTTCTCGGACATAAGCATCTGATCTCCAAATTTAAGGGGAAAAAAAAAAAAGAAACCACTTTTTACTCATCGTGTAACAGAAAGAGCCAATTTTTAAAAACCTGAGAGAGAATATTCACCGCAAGAAAACTTAATCGTTTGGGATGGGTGAGGTATAGAGACAGTTGGTCTACTCACCTCTAAACAGAAATGATGTCAGACCCTGGACACACAATTACAAATGAGACAAGTAGTCAAAACTGGGGCATGCAGACGGGAGAAGCCAGGCTACAGAGTTACTTTTGCATAGCCCTGTATTGTTCGCAGCCGCAGCCTTACTTCTGTATAGATGGCCCTATGTCCTTGGCAGCCGAGGCCACAGTGCTACCTCCTGCAGTCCTGAGTGTCCCTGCCCCTCCTCATTAGAAGCTCTCAGCCCTAGTTTTGAAAATTCCTTGTAATTTCAAGGAAGAAGTCGTTACCATTATTTTCTCTGTTATCGACTACAAATGCCGAAAAGCTTTCAAAGAGTCGTCAAGATTTGAAGTAGCTCCTCTAGGGCATTTGAGAAGGATCCCTGGTGGCATAGTGGTTAAGCACTTGGCTAGGAAACAAAAGGTTACCAGTTCAAACCGTCAGTCCCTCTGCAGGAGAAAAGACCTGGTGATCTGCTCCCTTAAAGATTGTTATTAGGTGCCATTGAGTCAATTCTGACTCATAGCAACCCTGTGTACAACAGAATGAAATACTGCCTGGTCCTGCACCATCCTCACAATCTTTGCTATGCTTGAGCCCATCGTTGCAGCCACTGTGTCAATCCATCAGTTGAGGATCTTCGTCTCTCTTACTGACCCTCTACCAAGTGTGATGTCCTTCTCTAGGGGCTGGTCCCTCCTGATAACATGCCCAAAGTACGTGAGAGGAAGTCCTGCCATCCTCCCTTCTAAGGAGCGTTCTGGCCGTACTTCTTCCAAGACAGATTTGTTTGTTCTTCTGGTAGTCCATGGTGTATTCAATATTCTTCACCAACACCATAATTCAAAGGCATCACTTCTTTGGTCTTCCTAATTCATTGCCCAGCTTTCACATGCACACGAGGCGATTGGAAATACCATGGCTTGGATCAGGTGCACCTTAGTCTTCAAAGTGACATCTTTGCTTTTTAACACTTTAAAGAAATCTTTTGCAGCAGAGTTGCCCAATGTAATACCTCATTTGATATTTTGACTGCTATTTCATTGGGCATTGATTGTGGATCCAAGTAAAATGAAATTCTTGACAACTTCAATCTTTTCTCCGTTTATCATGATGTTGCTTATTGGTACAGTTGTGAGGATTTTTGTTTTCTTTATGTTGAGGTATAATCCATACCGAAGGCTGTAGTCTTTGATCTTCATCAGTAAGTACTTCAAGTCCTCTACACTTTCAGCAAGCAAGGTTGTGTCATCTGTATATACAGGTTGTTAATGAGTCTTCCTCCAACCTGATTCATATAGTCCAGCTTCTTTCATTAGTCCAGCTTCTTGGATTATTTGCTCAGCATACAGATTGAATAAGTATGGTGAAAGGATACAACCCTGACACACACTTTTCCTGATTTTAAACACGCAGTATCCCCTTGTTCTATTCAAACAACTGCCTCTTGGTCTAAGTACTGGTTCCTCATGAGCACAATTAAGTCTTCTGAAATTCCCATTCTTCACAATGTTATCCATAATTTGTTACAGTCCACACAGTTGAATGCCTTTGCATATCAGTAGAACACAGATAAACATCTTTCTGGTGTTCTCTGCTTTCAGCCAATATCCATCTGACATCAGCTTGAATTTCTGGCAGTTCCCTGTTGATGTACTGCTGAAACCGCTTTTGAATTATCTTCAGCAAAATTTTATTTGCTTGTGGTATTACTGATATTGTTCAATAATTTTCACATTCTGTTGGATCACTTTTCTTTGGAATGGACACAAATATAGATCTCTTCCAATCAGTTGGCCAGGCAGCTCTCTTCCAAATTTCTTGACATAGGTGAGCACCTCCAGTGCTGCATCTATTTGTTGAAACATCTCAGTTGGTATTCCGTCAATTCCTGGAACCTTGTTTTTTGCCAGTGTCTTCAGTGCAGCTTGGACTTCTTCCTTCAGTACCATCAGTTTGTGATCATGCGCTGTCTCCTGAGACGGTTGGACATTGGTACAGTGACACTCTGTGTATTCCTTCCATCTTCTTTTGATGCTTCCTGTGTCATTCAATATTTTGCCCATAGCATCCTCCATTATTACAGCTTGAGGCTTGAATTTTTTCTTTAGTTCTTTCAGCTTAAATGCTGAGCGTGTTTTTCCCTTTTGGTTTTCTAACTCCAGGTTTTTGCACATTTCATTGTAATACTTTACTTTGTTTTCTCAAGCCACCCTTAGAAATCATTTCTTCCATAGAGATTACATTTCTTCTGTAAAGATTACAGTCTAGGGAACCCTATGGGGCAGTTCTACTCTATCCTATAGGGTCGCTTTGAGTCAGAATTGACTCGACGGCACACAACACCACAACAGGACATTTGAGAGGGAGTCACTTATTTGGCAAGTACCTTGGAGCCTGGCTGTCCCACTTCCCTGGACCCTGGACCCTGCACCCCATGGAACTTCGGGTAATGGCAAGGCCTGGCATAACCACATTACACAGATTGGGTGACTTAGTCCCCAGGACAGCCCATTTTACTGATGAGGAAACTGACGCACAGAAAGGTAGGTGGTGACCCAAGGACACAGAGCTAGTATGGGGCAGGTAGAGCCCATTCCCACGCCTCTGTGTGCTGGTCACACAGCCTGGGGAGGCCACTGGTGGGCATTAGACAAGTACTCACAATATTGTCTTAAATGGCTGTGTGCTGTAGAAGAACTATCCTGTGACAAGGAGTTGTCAGTAAAAGGTGTTGGATCAGGAAAATGGGTGTCGGTACAGAGAACAGTATCAGTAAATGCCACTGAGCCAACTTGAACTTACCCAGTAACGGTGGACGTGCTGTAACCTGTATGTGACTGTGATTTCTGTCTCTTTCCAAGTGTGGAAACATGGCTCGGGAGGGGTTACGCACTCTCGTGGTTGCCAAGAAGTCGTTAACTGAAGAGCAGTACCAGGATTTCGAGGTGCGTGCAGTTCACAGTCGTGTTTCATCCCTGCTGAGCGTTCCTTGGATTATAAGGTAGTTCTTTTTCCAGTGAGCGGACATGGCCTGTGTCCTCTGTGAGAGCCCCAGTCAGCTCAGCTCATGGAGTCCCCAAACACAGAAGTTATCCCCCCACTTAGTCTTATTCACTCCCCTGTGCTCACAAACCTAGGTGCTCATGGCCCCCACCCAGAGCAGGTCTAGGTGCTCACAGCACCTCCCCCCCTCCGCCCCCCCCAGAGCCGGTACAGCCAGGCCAAGCTGAGCTTGCACGACCGAGCGCTCAAGGTGGCCGCGGTGGTGGAGAGTCTGGAGCGGGAGATGGAGCTGCTCTGCCTCACCGGGGTCGAAGACCAGCTGCAGGCAGATGTGCGGCCCACCCTGGAGATGCTGAGGAACGCAGGCATCAAGGTACGAGCCTTGCCTGGGGGTTAGCGGTGCTGTGAGCAGCAGTGCTGTCTTCTCGAGGCACTGTTCTCCATGCCATGAGACGGTCCCAGCTCTGGTGCCCCTCTAGACTGTGGGGTCCCAGCCCCCTGCTCGGGGCTCCTCCAGACTGTGGGGTCCTAGCCCCCAGTTCAGGGCCCCAGACCTAGTCAACAGCACTCACTCATGGGTCTGTGTGAATGAGCACACTCTAGGTTGTGGTGTACCTATGAGTTGTGCCACATTAAAAGTACTTGAGATCTTTCTATTTTTGACAAAAACCACATACTAAAGTTAGGGTTGTTCCAAAACCTGCGTTATTTATTTATTTCATTTATATTTTTGAGGAAGTAACACGTTCGCATTGTTGCACATCTGAAAGGTGCCAAAGGGAGCACAGTGAGCATGTCTCTGCCACGTTCCCCCAGTGCCTGACGTCCCTGCCCGGGGTCCACCAGAAACGTGTGCCTCTCCTCCCAGAGACATCTAAGCTTAGTGAGCAAATGCACATTCTGGGTATTTGTGCCAAGTCTTAAAGGGCTGCTAACTATAAGCCCGTGACCATAGGATCATTTTGGGGGCCATTTGTCTGGCAGGAGGGGCTAAGTAGGCATTTGTGTCTGCTGCATGGAGGTGTCCTGTTGAACTGGACCTGGGACTGAGCCCCGGGCTTGGCTGTTCTCGTGCTGCCAGAGTCCAGCTGCCAAGCCTACAGTCCTCTCTGCCCTTGCTGCTTTTACCTTGCACGTGACGCAGACCTTGTTAGAGAGGAGAGAGTGGTTGTGTCTCGGCATTCACCAGCTTAAATCATTTCGCAGATATGGATGCTGACGGGCGACAAACTCGAGACAGCCACCTGCATCGCCAAAAGTTCACATTTAGTGTCTCGGACGCAGGACATTCATGTTTTCAGACCAGTGAGTGTGTGTGCAAGTCTCTTTGAATTTCTAGTAAATGCTTTCTCTCCCAACTAAAGCTTGTTTTTGTGAGAATGTCTATGCTTGTATTAATTACTAGTATCTGTTTTTACAAGAAATATCATTCAATTTATAAAAATCTATATTAATGAGAAATTAATTCCCATTAGTTACTTACATTCAGTGCGATCAGAAAGCTGCTCTGTGGCACAAGCTGTAATTCGAAGTATTTTTCTGTTATACTGGCGGTATTATTTAATAACGACTAAGTATCTGTGGGGTCACTATGAGTTGGGATCGACTCAGTGGCAACAGGTTTGGTTTCTTTTTTTGTTTTTTTGGTTTTAAATATCTGTTTTAAAATAGACACACTGCAGTCATTTTCTATGAACTTATAAAAACGTGTACTGATAGGAATTATGTCTTTCCATTGTTATGTGCATTTACATGGGATCCAAAAGCCACTTCTGTGAAATATGCTCTAAACACAAAATAGGAGTGTTTTTAATCTACCACCATTTTCAAATTAAATGTTTTTCCTTAATTAGCTCAAAGAAAATTAATAGAAATGATCTAAATTTATGTGTTTACTGTATGTATTAGTTATGACTGAATTTAATTCAAACAAAAAATAAAAATTTCTTGGGTTGTGATTGATGGTGGTGAACAGACATTATATGTCTGTGTCTGTTCCAAATGAACCACTTGCACCTACAGAAACAATTATTTGAATATAATTTACATGTAAATGTAGTTTGCGCTGAAGCATCAGAATCACAAATTAGGCCCTACAGACAACTATTTGCAATTAAATTATTAATGCTTCTGATAAAACTTCAGATCAATTTTTGTTGACTTTTCAGTGTTATGGCACCACAAATTAAATTTTTCACAATAAAATCTACCTATTTAAAGATGAGTCTGAGATTGTTAATTTGGACCACATGAAACTTTTAATTTATTATAGTCCTATGATGTATCTTTTATGCCCCATAAAAATCTCTACAGAAAGAATGTCAAAAACCAGTGTATCAGTTTCTGAAATATCTTCATTCTAAAATTAATGAAAGTATAAGATTATAACTTGGTTTTACTCTTTGAAATCGTTTAATCCCTCAGATTCTAAACATAACCCATGGCAAAGACAGCAGGAGCAATTTTATAAAAGTATTTTGCATCACTTTGCATGTTATGAAAAATGATATATTTAAATAAAACCTGGACGTTAGATAATTCTGTCTCTTAACCTGATGCCTGGCAGTGCAGACCTCAGCTTCCTTGGGCTCTGGTGTTCTCATATATTAGTATGTAAAGCTCTGTGCCCCACCCACCACCTGCCTGCCTGTCACTCTGGTAAACACTAATCTCATGCAAAGGGCTGGAGAAATTTCAGTCAGTCCTTACTAGTATGTCTTAAAACCCAGTGGTCTTCTCTAACTGTGAAGACAATGATGAGCTCATAGTGCCCTTTTATCTGAACTTCATGAACATGTGCCGGCTTCTTGACAAGGGAGTGTCTTCTCTCCTCTGTGTCTTGCTATACTTCACAGTGTACCTGTCCTGCTTTGAATTCCACAAATCAGAAGATAATTGCTATGAAATAAGTAGGTCTTCACCCCCAGCACCATAGGAGAAATCTGAAAGAGGACTTCATGTGTAGAACACCTTTTGGTTTTAGATAATGTATCTAAAAGATCTTCTGATTCGTTAAATGAGGTCTTATGTGTCAGTGCTTCTAATTGAGACAACGTGTTAATTGGGACACTTTTCTCCTTCACAAAGGTAACAAATCGAGGTGAGGCCCATTTGGAGCTCAACGCATTCCGAAGGAAGCACGACTGTGCACTGGTCATCGCTGGGGACTCCTTGGAGGTAGGGCTGGTCTGTGACCAGATGAATGTCTAGAGTTCCAAGGACTTCTTGAGTTCAGATGTGCTATCATGCCAGTCTCTTCTATTTTTAAATAGTTTTAATATATTACTGTCAGGTAAGTATTACTCTGGTGAGCAGTTGTACAAGCCTGAAAAAATGCAGTGGCAATGTCAGACTGATCATTTAGTCTTTAATATCTTAGAGGCTGGTTTATTTTAGTTTTATTCAAAGTTCTGTTTCAGCCCTAGGGCTCATGCTTATTGTTAATAGTACCAGATTCGAGGGGAGAGGAGTTTGAAATAGCAAAGAAGGCTTGCTCTCTTCAGTCTGCCACTGTATTAATACCAAAAGGTCATGCTGTAGCTCAAATTTGGTACACTCCATCTGGTACTTTCAGTAACTAAATTTGCTTGGGCAGAAGAAAGGATGATTCTGTGTTATACAGAACTCCTTTCCAGGATTTTTATAATATTTTGTGTCTATATGAATCTAGTGAAATACTTTTCATACTTAAAGGACTGCAGACAATAATAAATCAGATAGCAACAACCCTGCACCTTCACAGTGATGGTTGAAGAGACAACGACGTTTCTCCCTCACCCTTTTAATAAAGTGGAATGAGTAGATCTTTTCTCTTTCCAGTTTGCCCCACACCATCACTTTTTCTAAGGCTCTATAAAACCAAACCAAACCCATTGCCATCGTATCGATTCCAACTCATAGCAAACCTAAGTATATGCCCTCTGTCTTAGTTATCTGAGGCTACTGTAACAGAAATACCACAAGTAGATGGCTTTAACAAAGAGAAATTTATTTTCTCAGTCTAGTAGGCTAGAAGTCCAAATTCAGGGCATCAGCTCCAGGGGAAGGCTTTCTCTGTCTGTCAGCTCTGGAGGAAGGTCCTTCTCATCAGTCTTCCCCTAGACTAGGAGTGTCTCTGCCCAGGAACCCGGGTCCAGAGGACATGCTCTGCTCCTGGGGCTGCTCTCTTGGTGGTATGAGGTCCCCCTGTTTCTCTCTTCTATATCTCAAAAGAGATTGGCTGAAGACACAATCCAGTCTTGTAGATTGAGTCCTGCCTCATTAACATACCTGTTGCCTGTCCCACCTCATTAGCATCATAGAGGTAGGATTTACCACACATAGGAAAATCATATCAGGTGACAAAATGGTGGATAGTCACACAATACTGGGAATCATGGCCTAGCCAAACTGATAAACATTTTTGGGGGACACAACTCAATCTATGACACCCTCTGTAGTCTGGGCATATATCGGGCATTGTAAGTGGTCCTGTTCTCTCACCATAGTATCCGTATGAGAAGACACCGGATCCGCTGTTTCCCAGCCTAAAGGACACGTTTTGTTTTCCACGATTTAGTGTTGGTGTCACTTGTGTTTACTGTGTGTGTATGTTTTGAAGTTTTATTTTTATCAGGGTTATATAGGCACGTGCACAGTGTAAACAGTCAGATTGTCCTATGATCCCTCTCCCACTTCCCTCCCTATTTATGATTTAGTTCCTGATGTGCAAGATGAGGATTTTGTCCTCTTCCTACCATCATGGTTAAACCATGGTTCTGAGGGATCAGTTTTCAGTGGTTTATATTATTAGAAGTGTGTAAACATTATGTACAGTACAGCTAAGCCTACTCTGATGAACATTTTTTTCTGCTTTTTGTTTGCCCTGGAGCTAATAAATTTCTAAATATAATGTCTTTATTCTACCTGCATACTTGATTGATAGTTTGGCTGGGTGTAGAATTCTAGGTTGCGTTTTCCTCTGGAGTTTTAAAGATGTTTCTTCACTGGCCTCTACCATCTAGTGTTGCTGTCAAGAAACCTGGAACACTTTGTATATAACTTTTTTTCTTTCTGAAAGCCTGCAGGATCTTTTTTTTTTCCCCAGTGTTTTATAATTTCACCTTAGTGTGCCTTCTAGGTGAAAACAATCATAAATGATTTCCTTACTTCTGATTTTTCTGCCTTATCTTTCTGGAACTCCTATTACACTGATGTTGGACCTCCTGAGCTGGTGCTATAATTTTCTTATCATTTCTTTCCTAATTTTCATCTCTTCAGTTTATTGTCTAAATACTTTATTAAAGTTTACCCCCTCCAGAGGATAAATATCCTCTTTGCCAAGGTAGGAGACTACAATTGCCCAAGTTGCCTAGCATTGGAGTAGAGGAAGGGAATTAAGGCTCTGTCTGCTTTTTAAGCAGATTTCCAGCTGATCTGCTTTACGTTACATCTCTCTTCACCCTCATTTCCAGAGGTATCTGACACCATTAGTGCTTGAGCCTTTCGTGGGTTCTCAGCTGAAGATTTCTGAGGTCAGCCACGTCATCTACCCCTTGTCTGTCTGATCTCCAGGTTATTCACTGTCCTCCTCCTTGTGGGTTTATGCCTTGTTAAAAAATCTGCTTACAGTTGTTTTAGTGAGATTTGGGGAAGTAGCTGCTTGTGTTAAATCCATTATCTTTTTCAGTGTGTATTTTTAATTAACTTGTTTGCTCTTTTTAAAAAAATACATGTATGTAATAACCAGTCAACAGAAGAGAAAACCCTATGTTGAAAAGCACATTCACCCTCCCTGCTCTTGCATCCCCTGTCCTGCTCCCCAAAAGACATCTGTTTAACCGTTTGTCTTAGGCTGGGTTCTCGAGAGATGCAAAACCAGTAAAGCCTATAAATACGTATATATAAAGAGATTTATATCAAGGAAACGTCTCACATGATTGAGAGGCTAGTATGTCCCAAGTCTGTGGATCAGGAGAGAGGCTCCTCTTGATTCATGTAGCCGCAGGGGCTGGTGAACCCAAGATTGGCAGGCCGGAGAGCAGGGCTCCTGCTCACAGGCTGTGAAGAGCAACAAATCCCACGATCGGCAGATAAGCTGATAGCTCAAGTACCAAGAACCGGAGGTCAGATGAATAGGAGGCAGCGGCAGGATCCAGAGCGAGCAAAAAGCCAGATTTTCTGCTTATTTTAGGATGCAGGCTACACCACCAAGGAAACTCCCTTTCAACTGATTGGCTGCTCACAGCAGATCCCATCATGGGAGTGATCACGTATAAACACTGAGAATCATGTCCCAACCAAGTAGACACACAATCTTAACCATCAGAGTCCACCCCTTGTCAACTTGGCACATGTACACGTCTCCGTAAACCATACATAATTTCTGAATAAAGACAGTTATAAAGTCATACTTGCGCCTAACACGATACAACTAACATGCGTACAACTGAAAATGCACTAGCCCCATTTACATCTTATATTTTCTAAGTGAAGAAAACAATGTATTTGATGCACACATACAAAGCAGAAATACTCATAACAATTACAGTCCTCATTTCTGCAACTGGTCATGTGGCCGTAACTGGTATTTAGAACTACTTTCTTCCACCACCCATTCCATATTCCCTTTGCCTTCAGCAAGCACCTCAGCTGGTCGTGGTTCTTTCCCTGGTGGGGTGACCCAAACCTTCATTCCTGAAGGGTCTGAGTCATTCATTAGTAGTCATGTCAGAATTGGGTTACTGTGGTTTTCCATTGACTTTAATCACAGGGCATGGTAGTAATAAGGGATCCCCTGCATTCCAGACATAACTCTTCTTTACCTCTATTATGTAATATCAATCTGATTTCCTCTTGGTAATCAGGATCAATCATACCAGCTAGGATGGTAATACCCTTCTTTGACTGTTGATCCAGAGGCATAAGGAGCCCAAAGTGACCAGGTGGCATTCTTAGCTTCCAGTTCAGTGGAATCAATGATATATGTCCAGGTGGGAGCATTCCTCCCTTTGGAACTAAGACCTCTAGACCTGCAGAGCATAATGTTGCAGGGACAGGAAGCAAAAATCTTGCAAGTGGGTCACTAGGGGTAATAGTGAGTGGTGCCACTTCCATTTCCACCCCCTGAATCCTAGACCCATGAATCCTGGCTATGGGAGAAATAGCACCATATATTGGATGCTGGTTTAGAGCATATACAGCCTCCTGGAGAATATTGCCCCAACTCTGCAAGGTATTGCCACCCAGATGGCGCCATAATTGTGTCTTTAGAAGGCCATTCCATGAGCACGGGCCCACTGCCACATTTCTTTTGCTGTGAAGTGAGTCCCTTGATCAGAGGCAATGCTGTATGGGATACCATGACGGTGGATAAGGCATTCTGTAAGTCCATGGATGGTAGTTTTGGCAGAAGCATTGCATGCAGGAAAGGCAAGTCGATATCCAAAGTGTCCAGTAAGGACAAAATGCTGCCCTTTCCGTGATGGAAGTGGTCCAGTGTAATCAACTTGCCACCAGGTTGCTGGCTGATCAGCTCAAGGGATGGTGCCATATCAGGGACTCAGTGCTGGTCTCTGCTGCTGGCAGATTAGGCACTCAGCAGTGGCTGTAGCCAAGTAGGCCTTGGTGAGTAGAAATCCATGTTGCTGGGCGCATGCCTAACCTTCATCCCTGCCACCATAGCCACTTTGTTCATGAGCCCATTGAGCAATGACGAGAGTAGCTGGGAAAAGAGGATGACTGGTTTCCACAGAATGCATCATCGTATCCACTTGATTGTTAAAGTCATCTGCTGAGGTCACCCTTTGGTGAGCATTCACATAAGACACAAATATCTTCACCTCTTTGGCCCATTCAGAGAGGTCTGTCCACATACCTCTTCACCGTAAATCCTTGTCTCCAGTTTTCCAATCATGTTCCTTCCATGCCCCTGACCATCCAGCCAAAGCATTGGCCACAGCCCATGAATCAGTATACATCAGACATCTGGCCATTTCTCCTTCCAAGCAGAGTGAACATCCAGGTGCCAAAAGAACTACTTTCTTCCACCACCCATTCCATATTCCCTTTGCCTTCAGCAAGCACCTCAGCTGGTCGTGGTTCTTTCCCTGATGGGGATTTCACTTCACTACTGTCCTTCAGGGAGGTTCCAGAAAGAGGCTGTAGTGCTGCCGTTGTCCACTTTCGACTGGTGCCTG